GATAATAATGAAATGTTATTGAATAATAATAATACTTGTATTAATTGTGGTTGTTTTATATAATTATATACAAGTCTGCAAAAATGTGTCAAGTTGAATGTACCTCTCATAATTTTCTCGGCTAGAATTTCCCAAAATAAATTTAGCCCAAACCCAGCCTCGTGCAATTGGCCACCTAACAAACAGTCGTCCAACTATTTAGTGCGTGTTTGACTTCCCTTCCTCGTTGCCCAACTACTTAATGTTGTCCCTGAGTCCCTCCCTCTTCAGTAAAAAGAAATTTGTCTAACATTTGCCAACGTTGTATTTATTGTATTTATTGGACATTAATTTAATAAAATAATAATAATAATTTCAACACTCATATTATATGAATTTTTTAAATTAAATAATTAGTAAAATTAAAATTAATAAAAAATATATATTTTAACCAAGGTTTTTAAAACCAGATCGGACCAGCTGATTGAACCGATTGGATTGGTACCTAGTGATGAAAATGGTTCGGTTTATATAAAAAACCATTTGAGGTCAAAATCGATAAAAACCAATGAAAATGGGTAAAAACCGATAAAAACCAATGAAACCGGTGAAACTGAAAAATCACCGGTTCAATTTCTCATGCAATCTTCTTTCAATTTTTTTCAATTTCACCATTCCCATTCCTTTCTTATACCCATTTTAACCTTTAATTTTAACAAAATTACAAAATTATCAACACCAAATTAAAAAATCCATACTTGCAGCTTACTCCTCTCATCAAATCTTCTTTGCTGTTCGGATTGATCGGTTCATTGGTTCAATTGATTGAACCAATTAAACTAAAAACCAGACCTAAAAATGGTTCAATGACCGATCTGGTTTTAAAAACCTTGATTTTAACAAATACCTTAAAATATAAAAAGGGGAGGGGTAAAAAGATCCTTAAGAAAAAATTTATAGTATGTGGCATAAAGCATTGTGTAAATTAATGAAGATTAAGGGCCTGTTTGGTGTGGATTATTGGAGCTTCAGCTTTTGGACACTATTCATGTCTCATGCATTTAAATTTCCCTCTTAAAAACTTACA